GTAGTTCCCTCCAAACCCCAGTGACGAAGTGGCTTTCGCCACATCTTCCATTTAGTGTATAAATTGCTTGTGAATTTTTCTACATTAAATTTCATCTGCCATTTGAGTGCCAGTCGATCTAAATCCCTCTGCAGCAAAGTAAGATCTTGCTCACCTTGTATTATTTTACAGAGCCTTTTATGTTATTTTTATGTCTTTTTTTCAAGATTATTTATAAACATTTTAAATAGAATGGGTCCGGTACACTTCCTGAAAGAAAATAATCTTGAAAGATTAAAAACAGAGGCTTGCTTAGTTCCTTAAGTACTCGTGAATGAATACGGTCAGGCCCTGGAGCTCTGTTTATATTAACTTTTTTTTTTTTTTTAGTTGCTCTCGTACCTTCTATTGAGTCATCCAATTGCAATTTTTTTTTCAGCAATAATTTGCATATCTATTGACATAGGTTCCTCCTTAATATATACTGAGGAGAAATAGTTATTTAAAATGTCTCCCTTTTCCTGGTCTTCATTAACTCTCCCATCCCGGTTTTTAGTGTACCTGCACTTTAATTTTTATTTTTTTTGGGTTGGTTTTGCTCTCTTTGGCTATCACTTTCGCATTTTGTAGTTGAGCTAATCTAGTTGCCTTTTTCCACACATTATTGGCTTCCTTATATCTTTTTATAGGATGCTATTGATTTTTCTGCTTTAAAGGCTTTGAATGCCCTTTTCTTATTAAGTGTTCTTGCATAGCAAGACCACTTATTGTTATCTCACATATATATTATTATTCTTATTATAGCCAAATTTGCCACCCTAACTCCTCCCACAGTTTTTACACTACATAGACAAAAATTTACCAAAACGTGCAGATTGTTCCCGATCGGATTGCTATTACTTTGTGGAACGTTTCGCCGAATGGTTCACGGAATATCGTCGTTCTTGTGGCGAAATTTGTCCCATAGGAATGAATGGCAAAGCTAGAGTGGGAGCTGGCAAAAGCTGAAAAATCAGGACATGATTTCTAAACTGCCACCACTCCCTTATTTTCAGGCCCACCTACACAAATCTTATATCAAAACGTTCAGCTATCCCTGCTGCCACTAAACATGTCAACGGCTAAGCCATAGTCCTGATAGTTTTCACAATATAATCATTTGTTTGCAACTAACGCCGTCCATTGACTTTCATTGAAACTTCACTCTGCAAAGCTCAAATTTGAAGTGCAATTTCTAAACTGCGACTGTGCCTTCAATTTTAATACTTCAGAGACATACTATGCATCAAAATGTAGGTCTGGGTCTTGTGATTCTCACAATATAAAGCTCTTCGCTGTAGGAGTTATAGTTTTTAAAATACGACCGTTTGAAGATGGCAACCGCCAAAATACTCTGACCTGTCAAGGGCTGCAGCAGCAAGTGATGTCATAGACAGGGCCTTTTGAACACCTGCTAATGTTTTTATAAATGTATGGTTTAATGTAACTGTGCAACAACGTTGCAATTAAATGTGCTATGTAAATGATAACAGTTACTCCACCCACTCCAGTTGTAAACTACTGGTGGAGGCAAGAACACTTCACACAATTTCCCCAGAAATTGTAGCTTTTCTTGTTACTAATATTTTTATATTCTGGGCAATGTTCAGCTTGAAAACTTTGAGCCCTGGCATTCATGTGGATATTACTTTGGACATGTACCACCTACCCAGAGATTGAAGACCCTGTACACCCCTTCATGGCAGTGGTGTTCTTGGAGAGCACTGGTCTATTTCAGCAGGATAATACACCCTGCCACACTGCAAAACGTTTTCAGGAATGATCTGAGGAACATGACAAAGAGATCAAGGTGTTGTCTTGGCCTCCAAATTATCAGATTTCAATCCAACTGAGCATCTATGGGATGTGCTGGAACAACAGGCTGGAAGCCCAACCTCACAACTTGCAGGACTTAAAAGATCTGCTGCTAATGTATTGGTGCCAGATGCCACATGACCCATTCAGAGGTCTTGTGGAGTCATAGCTGTTTTGGCAGCACGTGGGGTCCAACACCATAATAGGTAGGTGGGTTTTAATGTTCAGTGTGTGCGTGTGTATTTTTTTTTTTCTTCTTCTAATCAAGAGATTGATGGAATGTAATTGAGATTTGGGTAGGACGTGTTCCCAAACAATCAGTGTACAATAAAACAGATTTGGCCCACAGTGAGCAAAGGGATCACAGAAACATACCTAGTTGACTCTCACACAGCTCCAAAAGCATCTAAAAGGCACGTTGAGATTCTTTGCCAGAAGATTTGTCCTAATGACTGATAACGTGATGGGAATATCTGGACGAGGATAACTTTTTTCTGCGTTTCATTTTGATGTGGTTTATATGTAGTTTGAGTGGATCTATTCTGAGCACAAAGGCGACTCGAAATATCATGTTGAATCAGACATGTCACATTTTCCGCGTGTGACTGGAATAAAATTATCTATTCTAAACGATGCTCTCATTCACTTGGACACAGCAAATCACTTATTAAAACTCGCACGGAGCATAGTCCATGAGGACTAACCTGTGGCACTCCAGGTGTCAATGATTGCTTCTTCTATGGTGCTCAAAACGTGTTAAAGAAATGTTTAAATGGGTTTAAACTTTTTTTTGTTTAAAATGCATGGAGTGTTTTCTCAAAAAAGCAATACAATAAAATTGGTACTCTAGAATCTTAAAGGGGCTCTGTCATTGTCTGTGGTCTTTATAAGGCATGTTTGCATAAAGGCTGCCATTCCTCGGTCATCTCCTCTAACTCGCAGTTTAGTGAATAGCCCTGAATAATGTACCTCCTATATTTGCAAAATGTGTGTTTTTTTTAGCAGCACTGTGCCGATATAGGATTGTGATGTCCCGTAGCGTGCCGATCCTCAGGCCCGTCGTTACCAGGCAAGCTAACCAAGCAATTGCTTGGGGCCCCGAGCTCGCCTGGGCCCCCAAGCAGGGCCGGTGCTTCTTATAAGGCTGCAGCCGCCTGAGCGCTCTATAGAGAGCCTCAGGCGGCTGCAGCACTGCCTCTCTCGTCACCTCCCCTTCCCTGTAGCGTGGCCGAGCTCCTGTCAGTCCGGCTGGGTACCACGCGGTACAGGAGATTCAGTTTCCTGTTCCCGGCCGGACTGACGGGAAGTGCACTCTGAGCTCGGCTACACTACAGGGGAGGTGAGAAGAACAGAGGGAGGAATGGGGGGGAGTAAAAAGAACATAGGTGGGGGAGTAAGAAGGACACGGGAGGTGGGGGAGTAAGAAGGACACGGGAGGTGGGGGAGTAAGAAGGACACGGGAGGTGGGGGAGTAAGAAGGACAGGAGGTGGGAGTAAGAAGGACAGGGGAGTGGGTAAGAAGGACACTGGGAGAATAAGAGGACACAGGGAGGGTAAGAGAAAAGAACATGGGAGTAGAGAAGTAGTAAGAAGAAGAACATGGGGAGTAGTAAGAAGAACAGTAAGAAGAACAGGGAGGGAGGAGTAAGAAGAACAGGAGGGGGAGGAGTAAAGAAGAACACAGGGAGGCAGTAGGCGATGAGAACACAGGGAGGGGAGAAGAAGAACAGAGGGGGGAGGAGTTAAAAGAACACAGGGAGGGGGGTGTGAGGAGAAGGGGAGATGAGGAGAACACAGGCAGGGGGGTGTGGGGAGAAGGGGAGATGAGGAGAACACAGGGAATTTTCAATTGTTGAAAATGTTCAAATTTTATGCACATTATATGCAACAGCAGTATTTGCACTGTAAACATTTTTTATTTATATAAAGTGTGGGTGAACTTAAACTGTATGGCTATGCTGTGGTTCCTGTAGGCTTTGCGTGCGGGGTGGGGGCGCCTCCATGTCCATTTTGCTTGGGGCCCCCAAATTCCTTCAAACGGCCCTGCCGATCCTATTTTTTTTTTTTAACTTGAGGTGTATTCTGCTTGTGTTATTTATACTGTAATTGCTTTGTATCGTTGTATTTGTGCGTATATGAGCTATTATATTGTATATGTTCATTAGTAGTTTATGGTATCATGTATAATACCTATGAATTTGGGCTGTGTATGGGGGCTGCTTGTGGAATTGTGTGTTTGGTAGTGTATGGGGGCTGTTTGGGGTTTTGCATGTGAGAGGCTGCATGTGGGATTGTGTGCATGTATGTAGATTGTTAGTGGTGTTGCGTTTGTGGGGATTGTGTGTATGTTTGTGTGTGGGCTGTTCGTATTATTTGTATGAGGGGAGGCTTATTATGCTGGTCTGTGTATATCTAGCAGTGTGGGTGGCTTCCCTGGGTTCCAGTTGGGACCAGCCTGGGCAGGTACAGGTCAAGGACAGGAGCTGCAACATCAGCTGTGGGCTGCTCTACTACAGTGTGGATTCCCATTCACAATTGCTGGGAGGAAGTGATCTGAGAAGTGCTGCAATGCATAAATTGAGGATTGTCCTTCACTACCTCTTCGTATGAGCAGATATCTGAAGTTTCACTGAGACTCCTGATAGGCTAGACCCTGTCTGGCTCTAGCAGCCTTGAATGCAGTGGAAAGACACCTCGAGTGCCGTGCATTGCACTAGTGCCGTAGGTTGCCTACCCCTGACCTAGAAAATGTGTCATGATCGTCTCATGAGTTTCAATTATAGACAAACACAATCTGACTAAAATAATAACACACAAATGGATGTCCTTTTCAGTTTTAAAGGGATTTCCATTTAGCAGATACTCCCCCAAAGAAAACATGCATGCATTTACCGGTAATTATAAAAATAATTTTCTATTGGGGGAATATCTAAAAACAAAGATCTCTTGTCTGCAGCCTTTGGAAGCCCTCCCCTTTTAACCCCACACAGACGTTCTGTGGCTGTCCAATCAGACTCCCCAATGCAGCTCAATGAGTTGTTGCAAGGCAGGGGCTCTCGCCAATTGCCGCCACTTGAGTTCATCTCCACTGAGCTAAACAAACCAGGAAGTAACAGGACCGACTGTGCGATTGACAGCCAGGGCGGTGTAACAAGGTTTACGTATAAAAGAAAGTATGTCTGTAAAATGAAAGAGGACACACACAAAGCATTTCAGCAAAATGAACGTAATCAGGGGTCTGGAGTGTCCTGTTAAGAATGCTTCAAGATTCACATTGTCTCTCAATGACTTATTGTTGAATATCTTCATTGTATAATTACAAAGCACTTTGGAACATGTGTATATAAATGGTAATTCTACTAATAGCCTAAAGTGCAAATAAACTTGTCTTGGCTATTTTAGTCTAAATCTTTTATGTTGGTGTTCATTTCATTAACCGTTGTTTAGTGAATATACCTCAGCTATTCTTGCTTTCATCCCATGGAAACTGTGGGTTTACAATCCAGTATGTTACATAGCTGAAAAGAGACATGTGCCAATCGACTTCAGTTTTCCTCACACATCTATTTTGCTGTTGATCCAAAAGAAGGCAAAAAGCCCAGTCTGAAGCAGTTTCCCATTTTGCAAAAAAATAAAAAAGGAACAAATTACTTCTCGACCCCAGATTGACCATCAGATCTGTAGCGGATGGCACTGGGCTGTCCTGCAAATGTCCTTGAAATAATTGCATTCGTGTGATCTGCTAGTTTTCTATGTGTTTTAAAGCCTTGTATTCTTTTGATTGTTCGGTAGTTTCATTCCCTTAGTTTATTCGAATGAAACTACCGAACAACCAGACCTCCCCTGTGTAAAGTGTGTCCTCAATTACCCGTTGCAACATTGTTGCGAACGGGTAATTGACTAGGAAGTAGCCGTCCTTTGTTCTCGGGGGTGGCCGCCATTCGACAAACGAACACGTGGCGGCGGCCATTTTAAAACTCCCGAACAGCGGTGTTTTGCCGTCGAGTGTCTGGAACTAAAATCGGACACTCGAGTAGGCGAACACCGCTGAGACCTCCACAGCCCTGGTCCGTTCGGTTCCAAACTACCGAACGGCCCCTCGTTCGGTAGATAGAAAATACCGAACGAGGGGATTCAGGCGAACCCTCCCTAGCCTCTATAGCTAGAGGTTTTCGTATATTTTATTCCCTTATGCCAGGACCGACCGCAGGGCCCATTCACATGGAACCGGATTCGGCTATCTCTGTTCGTGCGGTCGGTCACTTTATTCCCTCCATACTTTTCCCGAACCCCTGGTCTGATCTGGGTGATTTTTGGATATGTTGTTCACCCAGATCAGGGCTACCAGGGGATGTATGATTTAAAGGGGTACCCCTACGTTTAGGGGTACATCCAGAAACGGGGGGAATTGGTGTGCTGGATAAGGGGATTATGATGCTGGCTGAGGGGAGGGGATGTGTGGGAGGTTACCAGGACAGGATTGGCTACTGTAATAATTACTGTAAATCCCTCCCTTGCATGGGAGCATGCTTTATAAGGAGACTGTGATTAAAGGCTTGTCAGTTCTGCTCCTGAAACTGTGTGTCGTCCAGTTATTGGGATTGCTGTTGGGATATTGCTGCTGTTTTACCTGCTGGAAACTTTGCTTATGGATTTATTATTTACTTGTTCCTGAGCCTCACTTGGATTATAAGCGGAGATAACCTGGGGAATATTGCATCTCCGCTACATTGGTTGGCAGCGCTGGGATCCAGACTCACAAGGGAACAAGTACTAATGGAATACGGATGGAGAGTGATTATGCCAAGCTTAAAAGATCCACGCTAAAGGATCTCCTGGAAGCAAAAGGTATTGCAGCCAGCAACAAAAAGAAAGCAATCCTCATTGCAGAAGTGATGGCTGAATACCAGCAGGAGGACAGGGTAATCCCTGAGCAGCAGAGTGCAGCAGAGGGAGCTGAAAAAGAAGAGTTCCGGAGAGAAGTGCAGTTCAGGCTGTCCTTTTATGGAGAGAATCCAACAACAGATATTATATCCAGGACAATGACAGAGGTACAGGAGCTTATACTGCGTCAAAGGCCACTACAACAGCTGGAGAGGAATGCTACCACAACTACCATCACAC